ATATTTACTTGTTCACTTGCATTCAAACATGCATACATACACATTCATAATTGCTTCTTTGTTTCATTGTCTTCTTCCTTGTTTCCTTGCTACTCTGTTTCTTTGTTTCATTGTCTCCTTGCTTCTCTGGTTCTTGATTCATTGTCTTCTTCCATTGTCTCCTTGCTACTCTGTTTCTTTGTATCATTGTCTCCTTGTTTCTCTGTTTCTTTGATTCATTGTCTCCTTCCTTCTCTGTTTCTGCTTACTGTTAATTAAAGAGTTTGAACGTGATTAAAATGCAAGTAATAAATAAGGAAACAAGGAACATATGATGATATAAGAAATTAGAATACACCTTTTTAAAAGATTTTGCAAGCAAATCCGCTGGTTGTTTGATCTTGATGTCCAACAGAATTGAGTAATATTCACAAATTGATTCTCCTAATGATTTGCTTCACGAATCCAATTGTTTAAACTAATGAGATTTTTCTTGTTCTTAATGCTAATGGGAAATAATGTAATATTCTACATTTTGGGATGTCATTTTTCAAAATTCCCAAATAAGAGTAGTAGGGTGGCAAAACATTGCAGTTCATTCTGTTTTAATATTAAAATTTAATATATATATATATATATATATATATATGTATATATAATATTGTATATAATCATAGTTGAAGATTAACTGATTAAAAATGAATGAATGTGAAAAAAAAAACTAACAAGATTTTTGTAACCAAATATTAAATTTCTAAATATCATATTTTTAGTATATATTTCAGTTAATCTTTTTTGGTTACATATATTTCAGTTAATTTTCTAAACATCGATATCATATTTTGGATTCTCTCCATGGTTAATATGGTATATTTGGAAGGCACGAAATGCTAGAGTTTTTGATAATGTGGATCAGTATTCTCAAGAGGTGACTAGAATTGCTAAGATAGAAGCGGAGGCCTGGCAGGCGGCTCAGATCGAAGTTTTGGAAATACCACCGGAAGCTTCGGGAATATTGGTGCCGCTGCCTAAGAGGCAAAGGCGTATGGTTACTTTGTCTGATGTTTTTTCAGGATATCGATGTTTTGTTTAGCCCTGGGCATTCGGGGGCCCGTTGGGGTTCGGGCCGGGCTTTTCGGGATTTCGGGTTTTCGGGTTTGGACTTCTAAAGCCCATTCGGGTATAAATATATTTTCGGGCGGGCTCGGGTTCGGGCCGGATTTTTCGGGTTCGGGTTTGGTTTTATTTCGGGTTCTAAGTAACCAATAAAATTTTGATCAAAAAACAGAAATTTTAAAGTAATCTTGGAAGCTATAAAACAAAGAAACCATAAAACTAAGAATCTATAAAACTATTAAGCTAGCTTTTTTAATATGACCAAAAGCTATAAAACTAAGACTGACTTCACGTAAATAAACAAACCCACTAACCTTTACAGAGATTTTTGTTTTTTTAGCCAAAATAGAACTTATATATTCGATAATATTAAAGATAGAAGTACATAGAACTGTATTACATACGATCACATGGAAGCCTTACGGTTCATCTAACCAGTAAACACTATTAGATTTGTGGGCTTCCAACTTAAAACCAATTGGCAATGAGTGGAGAGGCCCATATATCTTATATACTAGTCAGGATTCTACTCAACTTCCAATGTGGGATATTATATCCCTAATACGCCCCCTCGAGATGATGGCTCTTTTGGCCATAGATCTCGGTATGTTCGGGCATGAATCGGTGGGCCAACTATGAGCCAGACCGATTATGGATTGGGTTGAGTATGTGCGGACCGGGCTCTGATACCATATTAGATTGTGGGCTTCCAACTTAAAACCAAATTGGCAATGAATGGAGAGGCCCATATATCTTATATACTAGTCAGGATCCTACTCAACTTCCAATGTGGGATATTGTATCCCTAATATAACTCTATACTTTAGCCTTGCGACCTAAATCAAACGGTTCATATATAGAACTCCAGAAAATAGAAAACCAGCAAAACCAGCATGTGTATGTATATAAACCCACTTTGGTACAATGCCACGTTCATGCGTTCCCTTATACACCTCAAATTAGATTGAGTCAAACAAATTATTTTAAACACTTATATTTCTTGCAGGAAGTATCACCATCTCCTTTATATTGAACACCATTCACGACAGGGCACTCAGGCACTCCTTTATATTGAGCATGAGTTTCCTTACACACGTTCATGAGTCAAACACATTATTTTAAACACTTGTATCTTCTTTAGTTTCCCAAGTCATCTCTTGTCTTCATCTTCTGATCCAAAGTCTCTAATTATATATTTATATGTGTAAGAAAAAATCTGTTTGACACATTTGGGACAGATCTACATTTGACCCACCAGAAATATACAGAAGCGAATAATCACACAAGCTCTATACTATAAGAAGATCATCTACAAAAGGGTCTAAGCATAGAAACCAAAAGAGTTACAGAGAACATATATAAGAACACAAATCATATATAATTAAGAACACATGATTCCAATCATTCCATTATATAAGAACACAAATCATATATAAGAACACATGATTCCAATCATTCCATTATATAAGAACACAAATCATATATAAGAACACATGATTCCAATCATTCCATTATATAAGAACACACAATTCCATGACTGACTTCACTAAATCACACAAACGATTGACGCTTCAATACTAAGAAGTAAGAACAAAAACCAAAAACGCAGAACACAACACACGCTTCAAACTTGACGAGCTTCGTCATCAATGAAACACGCTTCAAACTCGATGCAGAACACACTGAATTCAATAAACATGGTGCTAGAGAGAGACGTACGAGAGAGAGAACACACTGAACTCACCTCAGATAAATTTTGGGAATGAAAATATTGAAAATCGATTCGAGTATATCAGTTTCTGGGCAATAAAATCTTAATCGATCAACAAAATTACAAAGGCATGATTCATGAATCGATCAACAAAATTACAAAGGCATGCCGCATGAATGAAATCGGGTTTAATCGGGTATGATCGGGTTTTCGGGTTTATCCGAACCCGGACCCGAACCCGGAAATTTCAAAACCAAAACCCGATCGGGTATCCTCTTTAATCGGGTTCGGTACGGGCCTAACGGGCCGGGTTCGGGTATGGGCTTCGGGTACGGGCTTTTTACCCAGGGCTAGTTTTGTTGATGGTTCTTGGAAGGATTCAGACAAGTATGCAGGTGTAGGGTGGTATTGTCAACATTCTCAAGATAGATCCACAACGACGGGAGCTTCGAACACCCGTAGAAGTCTTTCTCCTCTCCATGCAGAGGTAGAGGCATTGATGTGGGCCATGAGATGTATGATCGGCCATGACTACAGAGATGTTGAGTTTCTCACAGACTGCTCAGATTTGGTGGAGATGGTGTCTTCCCCAGCCGAGTGCCAGCTTTCTCTGTATACCTGCAAGATATAAGAAGCGATAGGGAAGAATTTTCTACTTTTTCTTTATCTCTGATACCTCGTAATGCGAATGTAAAAGCGGATAGTTTGGTTAGTAATGTGCGAGCTCATCCGATCTTGGTTAAGTTTGTTAACAATTGTCCCCCCAATTGGCTTTTTTGAAAGCTAATCTATGAAAGTCTGATGTTGACAAAAAAAAAAGATAGTATGATATAAGTTAGAGATTATGTTTGATTATAAGGACATAAATTTCAATTTTTTTATATTTTAACCCTTAAAGAGATTATCTATAAGAAATTCTGACTGCATATAGTAATAAAAACATATAAGCTAATATATTTATCAAAAATAATATCAAATATATTAATTTAATGTGATGGTTACAGTTGAGTTTCCACAAATTAAATGCTTCTTGATTTTATCCTTTTTCTTCATTAGATTTATGTTATCATATATAGTTGTTAACTTGTTATAAACTAATGTTGAAGGGCATCTTGTGGACCCCTGCTCTGTCGGATATCCGATAGCTAACACGTGGATCCCTGCCCTATCGTCAAGCGTTGGGATACCTAGATTATCACAAAAAAGTATATATAGTACCATGAATACACTAAGTTAACAAAACAAAACAATTTCAAATAAAAAGAAAAATGAAAAGTCTTTTAGTGTTTCTATTTGTTTTTAGCATTTACATGCTTGGCTACGTATCAGGTAGAGCCGAAGTCAGAATTTAAATTCCAGAAACGCTTATGGATGAAGTGTTATTCCAAAGATAACGTAATTGGCCCAACTATCATACCAATTGGACAATATTCTAAAATTCGTTTTCTGGCTAACCTTTGGGGTACGTCTCGATACATGTGTACATTGAAACAAGGACCTAACTATAAACACTATCAGATTTTACAGCATTTAAGCAATTATATTGGTTTGATTATGGAGGCACATGGTATTGGGGAGCCAGAGAAGATGGTATCTATTTAAAGAGAGAAGGTGGCGAGAAACCGGTCGATTTATATAAAGCATATGATTGGATAAATTAAAATTGGATAACGATAGCTTTAACATGTATTTGATTAAAAAGACAAAATGATATATATCATAGTTGAATATTTACAACTTAAACTAGATTACACATTGTTTTTCCCCTTAAATTTAAATCTTTTGGATTTCCAAGTTCCAACAACAATATTTATTTCCATATTTCTTAGATCATCTTACAATCTCTTTCTTGCAAATATCTAAATAATTATATGTATTTCTTGCAAAACTGTAAATCCGAATAACATGACTCAGATTACACCTTTCATGCCCACAAAACTCATGACTGAAAGAAACACAATACCTTTTAGAGTACCCACATCATATACGTCTTGTAAAAACCTTATGAGGTCCGTAAGTTTTTTTCAAATAATTAAGACTCTTTAAAAAAAACAAAAAAATTATACGTATAACTTTTACTAATTTAGATAAAATTGATTAACAAAAAAAAGAGCTTCTTATACTATCAATAAATATAATGTGCACACAAAATTTACAGCTTATATTTTTTTTTTGAAAGTGAATTTTATACAAGAAAAAATATGAAACAACATAGAAGATGTTGAGAACTCTTGTTTGTACAGCCGTTGGATTAAAACTATAAGAATTAAAAAATAAAATATCGGTTATAAATTTGATTTGGTTTGGTTTAATTGTAGATTGTGGTTTACTTTAAATTAACGACACGTCATCACTCTTCAAAACGGTCATAAACCGTGGAGCGTGAAACGTGATTTTAAATTCGAAACCCAAACCCAGAAATAAATCACCGACTCAGAGCAAAAATTCTCTTCTATGCGTTGAGACGCAACACAACGGACGACACAGGGACAGACGGAGGAATCGTGAAGGGATTGAACCCTATCTTGTTCGTAAGTTACGTACATCATCTTCTGTGACTCTCTAATTTTGTTACTAACCGACGACAGACGGAGGAGGATGGAGTCGAAGATAGATTGACGGAGACGGACGGCGGAGGGAGACGCACGGCGGAGGAATCGTGAAGGGATTGAACCCTAACATGTTGGTAAGTTAGGTACATCGTCTTTGATCTTTCTTATTCTGAATTTGAACCTTAGGGGTCTCTTTGTGATTCTTTCTGTGCTTTGTTGGTTTTTTCAAAGATCAAATCACAATTCAACGAGTCTGAACCCAAAACATGAATCGTGAACGGTATATTAATTTCTCTTTAAGTCTATTTATACATGTTCTGATTGATTTTGGTATCAAGCTACTCATAATAAGTTTGTGCATGTTATGTTGATCTATTGAATTACTTTGGATGATGTTATCGGGAAGATGAAAGTGCTTGATGGTCAAAAAGGATGTGACAGTGGTGGTGGTGTATACGGAGGAGGAGGATACACAGAGGTTTCCCCAATTTATGTTTGTCACCATTCCTTAGTTCCTTGCGTGTTGTTGTTACTTGTTTTCTTATATTCTTCTTTGATTCTTTGCATATTTACTTGTTCACATGCATTCAAACATGCATACATACACATTCGTAATTGCTTCTTTGTTTCATTGTCTTCTTCCTTGTTTCCTTGCTACTCTGTTTCTTTGTTTCATTGTTTCCTTGCTTCTCTGGTTCTTGATTCATTGTCTTCTTCCTTGTCTCCTTGCTTCTCTGGTTCTTGATTCATTTTCTTCTTCCTTGTCTCCTTGCTTCTCTGTTTCTTTGTTTCATTGTCTCCTTGCTTCTCTGTTTCTTTGTTTCATTGTCTCCTTGCTTCTCTGTTTCTTTGTTTCATTGTCCCCTTGCTTCTCTGTTTCTTTGTTTCATTGTCCCCTTGCTTCTCTGTTTCTTTGTTTCATTGTCTCCTTGCTTCTCTGTTTCTTTGTTTCATTGTCTCCTTACTTCTCTGTTTCTTTGTTACATTGTCTCCTTGCTTCTCTGTTTCTTTGATTCATTGTATCCTTCCTTCTCTATTTCTTTGTTTCATTGTCTCCTTGATTCTCTGTTTCTATGATTTATTGTCTTCTTCCTTGTTTCCTTGCTTCTTTGCTCCCTTGATTGTTTGTTTAATACTTGATTGTACATTTTCATAACTGCTACTTGCTACCTTCTTTTCTGCCTCCATTATTTACTTATTCGCTTCCTTCTTTTATTTCGTCATCCATTGTTTCATTACCATCCTTAACTTGCGTGCTTATTTGCTCACTAACTGTCTCAGTCTAATGTTCCATATATGGAATTATGTATTTTGCTTTGATAGTGATACTACTTTACAGAATGGAGACTCTTGAGCGTGATCTGTCAAGAAAACTTCCGCGTCCTCATTACTCTTTCTACCACATAGACCATTATCTTTTTCTGTATGTGGAACAAGAACAACTTTTATCCATTTATACCAGCCTCTCAGAAACTTACTTGAAAGACCAAAGATCTCAGGTTCTATGATCATGCAGTGTGAGTATTTTATAGGATAAATTTATCCAAGTTTGAGGAGCTTCATCACAAATTCATGAAGTAAAAGGTATTCTTTCGATTGTCCTCTCTCACCCTCAAGATCAGTAATCTACGGTGCCACAAAGTTTTCATTCATTAGCTAAGTGGGATATTACCCAAAAGTAATAATGAACATGTGTATCTGCTTGCTAGATACTATGTCCAAGTTTGAGGAGGACAAGGAGAAGCTCTATATACGATATGAGAAACTAAGTAAGCCAACAAACTCCTTATGAAACCACTGTTAATAAGATGGCAACACTTACTTCCCCCTGTAGAATAACATGTAGGGGAAAAAGAGCTGACAACTGACAAAGAAACCTCAATAGGAGAGGTTCTACAAAGAAGATCTTGCTCAGTTGGAAGAATCACTCAAGGTAAGTATTTTCTCTTTTCTTGCCCCTTATTTCAGGTCTATTGCAACAGAGCTCTGAAATGGTTGTGGATATTGTTGGAAGTCAAAGAGTTCAAAAGAGGTCTGAACAAAATATCCCAAGATGATACTTAAATTTTTAGTCTTTAGAAAGGAACAAAGAGCTGACATGATCCATATTTGCAGTGTGAGTATCTTGTAGGATAAATTGGAAAATCTTGCTCAGTTGGAAGAATTACTCAAGGTAGGTAATAGTCTTACGTATATTCATATTTTTTCTTTTCTTTGTATGCAAATTCTTGGCTCCTTAGATTAATTTTTCTTCATTTGAAACTAAAAGGTAAAAAGATCTTTAGTGTTTCAATACTTTGAAATTCACGAACATGGACCACTACTAGTTAGCTTATCTATATCTGCTTTACAATGTTAGGTTTATACCAATTATTCTCGGCTCCTTCGTAGTCGATAGCCTTGCTTATATGAGAGAATGCAACTTCTTGAGGTGTATGATGATTAAGCTATCAGCGGAAAGCTCTTGCCTCTGATGAATGAAAGATTAACGTCTCTTCATATGACACTAAAAGGTAAAAGATTAACGACTTTTATTCTCTTGTATTTTATAGTTTGAAATGAATGTTTGATTATATTATAGCATGATCCACCACAAAAATTAGCTAATCTATCTGCCATTTACAATGTTGTTTGTAATTAAAGCTTATCATGTCTAAAATCTATAAGCACTTGTAAGTTGTCATTTATTTGATCTCGTAATTATTTTTAATGCATAGGGTAATCTCACTGATGGTACACTATTTCATTTATAGACTGTTTTGGGTTTTACTCTGCTTTTTTTAGTTGCTGGAAAGGTGAAGACGTTTAACTTTTGTTTTTAGTGTCTTTGGGTTAGTGTAACTGTTATGAGGAGTGGGCTGATAGTTGTTTCTACTTTTCAGATTGTTGTGTCCACCAAAAGCCCTAAATCTGACAAGCAATATGTTTGGGAATCGGTAGCTGATAGTAGCTCATATGTGATCAAAGAAGAAACAGACCCTGAAAGCATTCTCTATTCAAGTATTCTTACTTTTGATCTATATAGTTTAGCTGACTGTTTAGTCCCGGGTGCAGGACGATGACAAGTAAGAATTTGCGGATTCTACGAGGATCAAGAATCTTGTTAAGAATTACTCTCAGTTTGTTGGGTTTCCCATCTATACATGGCAGGAGAAATCAAGGACTATAGTGGTGAGGATGTCAGCTTTGTTTTTAACTATAACAGTGTATTCACGTTGCTTATGTGTTTTAAAACTTTGTTATTCGGTGTAAGTTAAAGAGGAAGAACCAGTGAAGGAAGGAGCAGAGGTAAAACTTTTATGGTTTTTAATTTTCTGTATAAGCTGTCCAAAACCAAGTACTGTCTTAGACTTTTGTTTGCTAAGTTGATCTCTTGTTACTTGTTCGTTTCTAGGGACAAGAACCAGTGAAGGAAGGAGAAGAGGTAAACTTTTATGGTTTTTAATTGTCTGTATAAGATCTCCAAAACCAAGTACTGTCTTAGAATTTTGTTTGCTAAGTTGATCTCTTGTTACTTGTTCGTTTCTAGGGTGAGCCAAAGAAAAAGAACACAACTAAAACTGAGGAGAACCTGTGAGTGTTGTGTATATATTAGTTCTTTCTTTTGTAGAACTCTCTATGGATTTCCCCTGGTTACATTTTTTGTCTGACCATGTTTCGTAATCTATATGCAGTTCCCAAGATACTTGAACTTTGTGAAGGGTGTGGTGGACTCAGATGATCTTCCTTTTAACGTTTCCAATGAAATTTCTCCAAGAAAGCAGGATTGTAAGTGGTCAACAGTTAGTAGTAATACAAATGTTGATTATATAAGAATCTCACCTCCTATCTAAACTATTTTCTTGATAATATTCAGGTAAGAATCATGAGAAAGGGTCTCATTAGGAAAACCTTTGACAAGCTTGGGTGAATATATCGAGAACATGGGAGAGAACCAAAAGGTGATCTACTACCTTGCAACCGATAGCTTAAAGAGTGCCAAGTCCGCCCCTTTCTTGGAAAAACTAATCCAAAAAGACATCGAGGTATATGCTTCAAGCTTAGGTTTTGCTTGGCACATGATTCTTGTTTGATTTGTTTTCTTACTGCTGGCTTTTCGAATGGTAGGTTCTATACTTGGTTGATGAGGTTGCAATTCAGAATTTACAAATCTACAAAGAAAAGAAGTTGGTTGATATCAGCAAAGAAGATTTGGAACTTGGTAAGTATTATTTTCGTCAAACCTCGTGCATTTGTTTGTAACAATTTCTCTCTTTTCTCGCAGGAGATGAAGATGAAGTAAAGGATGTGACAGTGGAGGAGTACGTCGTGGTGGTGTATACGGAGGAGGATACCACAGAGGTTTCCTCAATTTTTGTTTGTCACCATTCCTTAGTTCCTTGCGTGTTGTTGTTACTTGTTTTCTTATATTCTTCTTTGATTCTTTGCATATTTACTTGTTCACTTGCATTCAAACATGCATACATACGCATTCATAATTGCTTCTTTGTTTCATTGTCTTCTTCCTTGTTTCCTTGCTACTCAGTTTCTTTGTTTCATTGTCTCCTTGCTTCTCTGGTTCTTGATTCACTGTCTTCTTCCTTGTTTCCTTGCTACTCTGTTTCTTTGTTTCATTGTCTGCTTGCTTCTCTGTTTCTTTGTTTCATTGTCTCATTGCTTCTCTGTTTCTTTGATTCATTGTCTCATTGCTTCTCTGTTTCTTTGATTCATTGTCTCCTTCCTTGTTTCCTTGCTTCTCTGTTTCTTTGATTCAATGTCATCTCCTCTGCCCGGATTCGAACTCATGAGGCGGAGCTATGCTCTCAATCCAAATGAGCTACAAGTTCAGGCGGTTAAATTAGTTTAGAAAAGAAAACAAAATGTCATAAAAAAAATGAAGTTTAGATGGAAGAAGAGATAATTACACGTAGACATACTTTTGACAAAACAAATAGCATCTACACATACTTTTGGCTAGTGGTATACTTTTCTTCTACTTTTTCAAGAGAAACATATTTTGTTAGACAATTATGCCCTTATGCAAAAGACTCTCTTTTCTCTCTCCCTCACCTCTCGTGTTTCTTCTCTTCTTCTTTCAGATCTCTCTCCCCCTCCCTGCTTAAACCTCTCAAATCAGATAATCATCACTTAATCTGATTCTCTTGCTTTTTCTTTTATATTCCCAGTTTCTTTTGGTCATACAAAAAACAATAATTTTTTTTTGTTTTCTTTCAATTATTTGGTGAGTTTTTTTATTCTCTTGCTTTTCAACACATATTGGCTACGCATGTAAATTTTTGTAGATATTTTATTTTTGTTAAGATTATGTGGATTGGTAAATATTCTAATTTTGTTTGTTTATCTGTTCCAGGATGTAAACCCAGGATTATGTGTAGTGATTTCAGGGCAGTGGAGTTGTGGACATATCCATGTGGATACCTGTTTATGACTAGTCGTGGATGATTCATGGTTTATTGCAGGCGAATCATAGTTGGTGTCCTGATAAAACATGAAAACTAATGAAGCAAATACATGTAGATAGAAAAGAGGACCAAGAACCCTGTGGACTATGTCCATGTGGATACACATATTCACAATCCAAAGCCGCCAAAAATGAGGTATCACTTATCAGTCTTGGATGGATAATGGTTTAGTGGAGGCGAAGACACCTAAACGGCGGTTGCACAAACTGATGGATATAGGTGGAAGAAGCTTAGAGATGGACACAATAACAGTAACCTCACCAACAACCAGAGACAATAATTGCGACAGAGAGAGAAGCGATGATCTAATGGGTGTAGGAAGCTTTAAGGACATAGACAAAAAAGGTACTCACCACCACCACGTCCAGATATTTATTGTTGTGTGGAGAGAGGGTTACGACGAGAAACCGGCGTATGTCAAAAATCCCAGCGATGCAAATACGAACGAGGGATGCGGCGAGGGTGAAAAATTAGGCGTTGTTAAAATTAGGGATCGAGAGCATGAATTTAGGGATTGAAAAACATGTTTTGTTTCTTACGGAGAAGAAAACAAAAAAATAATAAGATAATGTTAAGAAGTGAGATAGAGAGTTAACTTTGAGGAGGACTCAATTGACATTTCCTTACACAAAAATATAGGAGTAGTAAGAAGTGGGTCTCTGTGTTATAAAATGTTGAGAAAGTGGGTCTGTGTGCTATTTATTCATGGAAGAAAAGGTGAAAAAAGTCAAAAAAAAACCAAAGTAATAAGATTGTGTCCAAAATCAATAATGAGGTTTAACTTGGTTTTTTCCTCTCATCATCTCCTCTGCCCGGACTCGAACTCATGAGGTGGAGCTATGCTCTCAAACCAACTGAGCTACAAGTTCAGGCGCTTAACTTAGTTTAGAGGTTTATTTTTATTTATAGAATTAATTTTTTTTTGGTAATCTTTATTTATAGAATTAATTGGGAGTAAGATGTTGTAGTGTTAGAATTTTTGTTTGGATATTATTTGGATACATATTTGATAGAGCAATACTTGGGTTCACCCCTAAGGGAAAACAATATGTCATGTCATATTATATTAAAAAAATAAATTAAAAATAAAACAAACCTTAACCACTCTTTTATAAACCCAAACTGAAATATAATTTCGTTTAATTACAAAATCTAAACCCTAACCATTATTTTTCAATTGAAACGAAAATAAAAATTCGTCTAATTACAAAATCTAAACCCTAACCACTAATTTGTCAGCCTAAACCGGAATATTTTTTTTAATTACATAATCTAAACCCTAACCACTAATTTGTCAACCCAAACCAAAATATAATTTTGTTTAAATCAAAATCTAAACTCTAACTTCTATTTTATAAACTATAAC